TTGGTGGAGAAAACAGTCATTACTATAGCACCTCATCAAACTATCAGTACATCCCATTCCTAGAACAAGCCTGTCCAGTCATAACTGCATGTTTTTTTTTAATCAAGTTCTCCTCTACCAAAAAATGTCCCTTCACTCTTGACCTCGGTGTCTTTGATCTAGATCCAGCTCAAAGAGTACATTCTTTTCTAATTCTTCTGGTGAAATAATTGCTTCCTCTTGGTGCTGCAATATGATCTGCACATACTTACATTATATAACTTTAAATAATAGTTGAACAGTAAGTACCTGTCTCCCTTGTTATATTGAAAACTTAAAGTCAGGAACTACGCCTCTTCCATTGTTACGGTCTCCTCCCATCAGAAAAAGGCTTACGCAAGAGAATATACTAAGGAATGAACAAAGAACAATAACACAGTGGGGCAGAAAGTTCAGAATCCCTCTCCCTCCTCTTTGGTCTTCCTAAGTGCTAAAGCTCTGCCACATCAAAATGAGTACCAATAAAAACCTGAAGTATTTCAGTGATGTTTCTCTTCCAGGACAAGTCTGGAGGAGAAGGCTCTCTCTACACAACCCTTAACTGTTCAGAGTATCTTCATGTGTACCATATGTCCAAGATATTTTCTCTTCTCTTGTGATCTTGCAAAATGATGTCAAATTCTGCTTTCTTGTTCTCTACCAAACACAGGTTGTCTAAACATCCTTTCTAGCTGTCCCTTTATGTGCTTTTTAAATGCCATTTCTCATATAAGATCCACTTCCAAAGTAGAAATACAATTTTTCTCTCACGGGAATTTTCACTCAAAACCATCTAATTTGCATATCTATACCATTTTTATAATTACAATTAATTTGGGTGAAACATGCTGCACGTAACAGTATCACATAGCCAGAAATTAACTTTCCTTTTTTTTTTTTCTAATTGCCAGAGGGTGCATGTGCTCTCCAGATAGAGATGGGAAGAGAAAGAGTGGGAGAAAGCATCCCCCAAATGGGGAATGGTCACACTGCCATCCCTTCTCCTCCACTTTTCTATCCTGTTGGGATTTGGGGCACACATGCACACAAGGCACCAGCGTGGTTTCCATGCCACCAGAATTTGAATCATGGTTGGCCATGTGGGATCCAGCTCCCCATCACCAGGCCAAGGGGCTGACTCCAGATATCCACCTTCTATTTCCAATCTATATGCATCTGTCTCCAGATGTGAATTCTTATTCAACATGTATTATCTTATATGCCAGACACTGTGCTAGGTGGTATGGATATACACACATAAAAGAGAAGCGTGGTTTAGTGGAAAGAGAAACAGCCACTCCATATTTACAGAGCAGTGTGATAAGTGCTATAGCCACATAAAACACATAAGCAGGACTAGATTGTTCCATCTCATGAGGTCCAGTGTTGACACAAGTGAGAGTCCTTTTATTTAACTTCCAAAGTCCATGAATTCCCTGAATCCCTAACAGCCACATACATTAAATACTACAGTGTGTGAAATCATAATGGATGGAAGTTCTGCTGATATCTAGAACTATAAGTTATTTGAAAATGTGAACTAAGCAAGACTTGGTGAAAGCATCTAACCAGTGTCTTTGCCTTCTATTATTATCCATCCTACTTTTTCTGGTTTTCCTCAATCTCTCCATGCACAGGTATAATTTTTTGTTGCTCATCTTTTAGTGCTAAAATACCAATGAACAAGTCCTATCTTTTTGTCTTCCGAATGTATTTAAATCATGTTAGTGTACTTATTTTTCAACAGTCACCGTCTTTAAAAAAGAGATCTCAAAAATTTATTTGACCAAAACAATTTAGAGTTATAAATCTGCTTATATCTTACAAACACAGTTCCCATTTTGATGATGCATTTATTATGAATATTCTGAGATAGGCATCTGCATTCCATTTCTCTTCCAGAGCCACTGTAAAGCAACTTTTCCCACTCTTCTATCTGACCTGCGCTTAGCAAAGGCCACCTGGATCCTCACAAACTCTCTTTCTAGCCTGATGATACAGTCCTAGCAAAACAGAGCTTTCAACTCTAGGGCCTCAATGGGAAAATGTGGAAGGCTGAAGCTCTCCAAATTAGATGAGACTCCGGTTCATTAAATCTGCATTACCCTGGGAACCAGCAGGTGGTGTGGTGGTTAAGGTGCTGGACACTGCCACATGGGCAATCATGGTTTGAGTCTCGGACCTGGTGGCTTGCTTTCTCACTCTCTCTCTCTCTCTCTTCCTATCTCTCTCTCTCTAGCTCCCTCTGGTCAAATTAAAATAAATGAATGAATAAAATTTTAAATTAAAATAAATATTTTTTTAAACCTGCATTACCCAAAAATGATATTCTCTGGCAACTTCCTCAGAACTGCCCATTATAACAGAAATAAAATCAGACCACCTTGTTTTTGTTTTCCCAGAGAGAAAGCACTCCCTAATGGGGTATGATCAGGCCACAATTCCTTCTCATCCATTTCTCCATCTTGTTAGGATTTGAGACATGCAAACACACACACCGTGTTTGCTTTTCAGGCTGCCAGGGCCAGGATTTCAACTGTGTGGTGGGCCGCGTGGGATATGGTTCCCTTAACCTCTAGGCCATGGGCCAGCCCCACTGCTTGTTTTTAAATAAATTCCCCCACACAGCAAGACAAAGTTCTTTCTGAACAGGAGAATGAGCTCTACTTGGTCTGATTTTCAGGGGTCCAAATTATCCCCAGATAGCCCTTTCTCTCCCAGATAATTTCCATTTTCCATACTTCTGTAGTAATACAGTAGGGGACCTGGAGGAGCTATAGAACCCTCCTTTCACTCCCTCTTCCATAAGCGCAACTCTATTTCCAGTCCCTTTGGGTGTATTTATACCTACCAAGCCTCCTGTCAGAATCAAGAGGAAATGTGTTATTTTTCTCCAGGCATACCAGTCTATAAGTGCCTAAAGTTCCTTGTTATTGAGTGAAAGAATTATTTTATTTAGCTGACAAATCAATGCTAAACTTTGGGGGTAGAAACCTTACAGACAACCACACAGACTCAGTCTTCACAGATTAGATTCAATCACACAGATTAGTCCTCACAATTGGTCTCTTTGAGAAAATGGCAAGAATACTCAAGGTTTTAGGGTGTCTCTCAGAAAGAATTTCTCTATTGTCACTATTTCTTTACTCTTTTCTTAAATAGAATTTTGCTATAGGGTGTGTGCGCTTGCTGAAGAGACAGAAATAGAAAGTGAGAAATCACTCCCCAAGGGGGATGGCCACATCACAATCCCTTCTCCATTCTCCTCTCAGGATTCTGGGAATACACGCACATGTGCCCAACATGGGTTTTAAGCAGCCAGATCTGGATCTCAAACCTTGGTCAACTACATGGGAGGTCCAGTGATGTAGCCATTATGCCATCTGCTGGTCCCCTTCACTGTCACTATTTCTACACCCTAATCTTGGCATTATCTTCCAAGTTCCTACCAACATGCTCACCATTTTCATGCCGAAACTACCCCATTGCCAATTCCATAAAGCCCACAGAAGGCAACAGTTGCCAGTGTTTCTGCTGCCCTCTTTCTAGGAAGATCTTCACCTGTCCAAGGCTCCCCTTAAGTACCAGGCACAGGAGCACCAGCAGCAGGATGTCTTGGCTGGCTGTCAAATAACAGGCTGACTGACACTTGAGATACCAGGCTGCCCTGATGGATCGAGTTCTTTCCCATTAATCTCAAACCTTCCCTCAATCACTCTGTACCTAAAGAGTGGGCAACTAAGCCCTCTGATCCCAAAGCACTTTCCCAGCTCTTTACCCATACTTCAGTTAACTGCCAGTAAAAATTACAATCTCACTAAAGCTCATGTTAATTTTATGACCCCAAATTATCCAAACTGCTCTGGGAGACATGAATGAAGTCTTTAACTGACTCAGTATTTTCAGCTCTGGAAAGCTAATCTGTAGAAACAATCCATGGTCAACATATAGTATATTCACTCAAAGTACCATCCATTAAGAGCATACTACGTAACAAGAAAAACTGCCTAGGAAGAGAGAAAAAAAAAAGACTTAATCAGAACAACCTTACCACTGCAATTGCTGTTGCATTGGAATAAAGAGGCCCTTGAAGCAGTAATACCTCCATCAAATATGATTTACTTTGTGATTTCTTATGTGGTTTTATTATTATTATTTGCAGTAGTAGAAGAAAACAGCATCAGGTTAAATCTCCCCACTGCCATAGAACTCAATAAAACCTCTGTCAAACGAAATGTAAACATATATTTGCAAAATATTTCCTGCTATTAATAGAAATTCTTAGAGTCTAGAACCCCAAGTCATTAGGTACCTATTTGTTGAGTTCTACATAGGGGGTTTCTCACACTTATTATTTATTCCTAATAACCCTGTGAGGAGCAATCATGGCCTTAATTTTGCACACGAAGAAGCAGCTATTCCAACATACTAAGTCACTAGCCAAGGTCAGACATGGGTGTCACAGGGCCAGGAGTCAAACATTTGGTCTTCTGACTGGTTGTTCCTTGTTCTTCGTGTTTTTCTAAGTCTTTAAGCGCAAGCTAAATATTATTACTACTATTAGCAGAAACAAAATCTCTGCCCTATCTAAATTGGCGCTATCACTGTGTCATTCAATATTTGAGACCTTTCCTGTATCCTGTCCCATATCCTAGTAATAATAATCACCCTACTTTCCACGTGTGAACCACACGTTTTTTCCACGAAATCCTAAGATGCTCAAAGCTTTGCACGACGAGGTCAGAAAACGAGATCTGGCTGTGCCCCTAAGCCCGAGAGTGTTCCTTCCTCGTAAGGGGCACCAGCAGGCTCTTTCGCCGGGCCACGTGGGAAATGTGAGCGTCCGGAAGGTCACAGGGGCGGCCGCTCGGGGCGTCAGGGTCACGCAAGACCTGGCTGCGCTGGCCAGGGGCTCAAGGCGCAGCGCAGCGCCGCGCGCCTCCCGCCGGGTCCTGGCCGCCAGTGCGCGCTGCAGGCCTCACCTTGAGAGTCTCGTAGGCGGTGGCCACCAGCAGGAAAGCCTCCTCGGCGCTCTGCGGCGTCCGCCCGAGGCCCTCGTCGCCGGGCTCGGGCCGGTAGCGGTCGGGGTGGTAGCGCCGGGCCAGCTGGCGGTAGGCCCGCGCGATCTCCGCCTTGCCCGCGGTGCGGCTCACGCCCAGCACCTCGTAGCAGTCCCGCGTGCCGCAGTACAACCCCTCCACCAGGGCGCCCGCGGGCCGCGCCAGCAGCGGCACCAGCAGCAGGGGCGACAGCAGCGCCGACCAGCGCCGGGCCGCGGCCCCGGCTCCCCCGGGCCCGGCGGGCGGGGCCCCCCGCC